GGAAGCGACGGTAGAAGGAGACGGACTCGTCAAAGGTGACGTCACCGGAGGCGAGAGTGAAGGACAGCGAGGCAGTGGCGGAGGCTAGGAATGGAGCCGGTGCAGAGCCTAGGCTAGGCAAACTAGGCAGTCCTACGCCTGACACAGCAGGGGAGGCTAAGCTACACAAGGGTGAGACACCTAAACTAGAGTACACAGGGTAATAAGATCCAGCAACATTAGAAGCGTCAGCATACAAAGCATGCAAAGCAGCACCTATCTGATTCATATCTAACTCAAAGCCGAGGAAGACACAGGGAAGGGTGCGAGCAGTGAGCTTGTCCGTGCCAGAGGCACGAACCTGAGCAAGGCAGCCCCAGATGTGGAACGCAGACGCGTCACCAGGTGACCCAGACCAGAGGAGGGTCGGCGAAACCTGAGGCTGCTGGGGGTGCGGCCACAGGTTAAGCTGGTTAGCGGTGTAGCGAACGGAGAACGGCCAGAGAAAATGGGGTGCCCCAGCATGGATCATAGAGGCGTGAGCCACCTCCATGACCAAACCGATGCGTCGCTCAGCGACCCCATTCTGCTGCGGGGAGTCCGGCAAGGTGAACGTCTGGGTGATTACCTCCGCACAACAGAAACGACCAAGGACACCAGAGGCAAACTCGCCACCACGATCGGAGTGGAGACGCAAGACAGGGAGACAGCGGTGGACACGCGCAGAGACAAGCCACGGGATAAGAACGGCAGGCACGTCAGCCTTCCGCTACAGGGGGAACACAGTGGTGTAGCGCGTATAGTCATCGACAAGCACTAGGAAGTAGCGCTCTCGACGCGACCCATGGACGGGGGCGGGGCCCCAGACGTCCATGTGCAGAGTCTGTAGCGGTGCTGCAATAGGGGGAAACGAGGAGGAGTGAGGGGCACGGCGGAGCCGGCCCTCGACATAGGGCGTGCAAGGTGGGTCTGGGGAGGAGGGAAACTCGGGGAACGACCCGGGGAGGCCTAGGACGAGACCGTGCTGTGACATGTGACGCAGGCGCGGGAGCGCAGGGTGACCTAGGCGGTGGTGCCAGAGAAGAGTCAGGTGAGTGAGAGACCGACAGGAGCAGGCAGCTGCAACCGGGGGAGACGCAGTCACCTGAGGGGGGGTCCCAGCTGGGGGGATCACGGTGTCCAGTGTGAAAAGACCAGACACCGGGTCCCGTGGGAACGTGGACAGGGGGGCACCAATGGCGGCCTCGGTACAGACAGCGTACCGCTCGTGTCCAGGGAACGTAGTGGTGACGCCAAGGTCCTGAAGGCAGCCGACACCAACTAGGTTCCAGGAGAACGAGGGGATGTGCAGTCCTGTGAGCGAGCCCGAAGGAACCGCCGGGCAGGGGAGGGTGGTGGAACTGCGGGCGACTACTGGGCCGGAGGAGGGGTCAGCAAGAGAGACTGTGGCAGGGACAGGAAGCGGTGTCAACGTGGTGGAGTCGTGAAAGAAGCACCGGGAAGCGCCAGAATCGAGGGTGAAGGAGAGCGCGTCAGTGGCGGCCGGAGGCGAAGCAGCGACGGAAGCACCAAGGCTAAACAAAGCAGGGGATCCTACGCTTGACGTAGCAGGGGAGTCTAAGCAAGGCACACCTTCACTAGGCAACAAGGGGTAATAAGATGGAAGCACACTAGAGTCATCAGCATACATCACATGCAGAGCAGCAACAATCTCATCCATATCGAGATCAAAAATCTGAACCCTACGACGAAGCAAACTATGCCAGTCTGGGAGCTCTGGCGATGGGCCAAAACGCTGACGAAACAGGTTGTCCAGGCGACGGAAACAGCGGACGGAGGTGTGACCGATCTTACCGCAAACGAAGCCACTGCGAGGACCGGTCTGGAGCAGGTACTGAGAGCGCGCGTCACCCGAACCACCACCAAGCAGCCCACCACGCGCACCACCACCACGTCCAGCGCTACCACCAGTGCCAGGCCACCCGGGCGAGAGACCACTCGCCCGTCTCTGCTGCGGCTACTGCGACTGCTGCGACTGCTGTGGCTGCTGCGGCTGCTGCGGCTGACACGAGTCCGGCTGCAACGCCGGCGGCTGCTGAGACGGCTGCTCAGCTACACCTGGCAGGGTCCCCTCGTCTGCACCACCACCAGGAGACCCAGCTCCAGCACCACCTACACCTGCACCCCCACCCCCGCCGCCACGCCCAGCCTTGGGGCGGTGACCCTTCCCCGGACGGACCTGTGCTGCAGCGGCAGTCTCAGCCACGGCAACACAACCGTCAGAGAAGGTGCACTGAGCGGGGGCGCAACCCTAAAAGATAGGGACCGGCACAGTATCGCTGGTCTGAGCGATAGAGCGGTGGCGGGCCTCTATAGCGGACAGGGTGTCAACAAAGTCAGTGAGGGTGAGGTCTGCGGGGTGGACGCTAAGGAAGTGGTCACGGGCAGTGGCAAGACGGTCAGGGAGGCGTGTGGCTAGCAGGTAGAGAGTAGAGGTGAGGGGCGGCTGGTGGGCTAGAAGCTGTGTGAGTGCAGGCAGCACGCCAGGTCTCGTCTATAGTGCGCAGGTGAGCGGCCAGGTCGGCGACAGTGGGGAACGATGCAAGGTCAAGGAAGAGCATGGGGAGGATCAGACGGCCAACCGAGGCAGCAGGCGGGGTGGAATAGCGCTGGACAACAGCATCTAGGAAAGCCTCGGCAGTGGTGATAGACCTGAAGCGAGGTCGCTCGGACAGGGGGAGGGCATTGCTAATGGCAAGCTGTGCGACAGCGTCACGGGACAGCCAGACAGAGCGAGCAAGGGAAGCGGCCGCAGCGGACTCACGCTCAGTGGACGAGGGATCAGTAGACAGTGCAGCGTGGGGGTCTGGGCAGGGGAGAGTACCGTCAAGATGGTCAGATAGAGAGTGGCCATCCTGCCGCTGACCAGTGAGGTGGCGACGGAGGTCAGCAAGCCACGCATCAAACTCAATCGGCTGGCCCTCAGCGTCAAAGCGAAGCACCTCCGCCATCAGTGACAATAGAGGGCAGTGGAGAGTAGTACAGTGTGGTGCAGTGCGGTGCGGTGCATTGCAGTGCGGTCCAGTGCGGTGCAGTGCGGTACAGTACGGTGCAGTGCAGTACAGTGCAGTGCAGTGCGGTACCGTGCGGTGCAGTGCGGTGCAAGGCGGTCTAGTACGGTACCGGGGGGGGTTCGCAGGGCAGTGCTGATCGGGAGGAACGGTCCGAACCCTGTTGGTGCAACCCTATGGCTTGCACTCGGCTTGTCGTCCGTGTTTGTGTGTGTGCATGCATGGCATGGAATGACTTGTGAGTCTATGTCATTGCTATCTAGTGCTTGTGTGTGTGTTTGAATGGTGTCTCACAATGTGGTGTGTGTCGGTCAAGACATTAGTGAGTTTTTACAACTCGCATGTCAAGTCGTCGTTTGCGTGTCGCATGTGTTTTTCTATTTTGTCAAGTGTGAAGTGTCCATCGCGTCACAGGTGTGTGCAGCAAGCCCCCATCAACTCAAGAAGAATTTATCTTGAAGAACCAAGACCAAGAGCTCAAGATTTCAAGCCCAAGGGACGCGGATAAATATTAAATAGTGAAAATAGTAACGCTACTTCGTGTAGTGTTACATTTCACTTGGTGTAGCCCCTTGGAGGGTTTGTTTTGAGACTCTTCGTGGTTGGGGACTCTGTGGTGGTGTACCACCAACCTGGACCTCGGCTCTTGGGGTATGTAGAGGCTGGGAACCATCTCCCTCTCGAATTCTTCTTCCTAAGTTTTTGTACTCCTAAGACTATAGTGGCTGCTGTACCTCCTGCCAGTCAAACTGCCATAGCGTCGTCAAATCTTCATGGAATTTTATGATTCAACTTGCTGCTGATAGGCGACAACAACGCGCTCCAGATCCAATTTACAGATCACCGTTTGAGGCACACATCAGATCGGCATCAATATTTGAAGCTGGCTGACGGAATTCTGACTGTGCACATTTTCTCTCATTTTAGGCACATCTGAGCCTATTGTGATTATAACAAGTGGTATCAGAGCCCCTTGGAGCTGTCTCGACCATGCCTAGACCTGAGGAAGGGGGTGGCAGAGGTGCTGGAGGCAGAGAAGACGCCCAAGCACAAGGTCAACACCAAGATCCACCCATGGCTCCCGTGCAACCTAGCCTTGGCCCCTCTAGGGATGAGCCTAGAGTGTTTGGCCTTGACAAGTTCAACGGTGACAACTTTGCTGAGTGGTCCTTCAAGATGGAGAACATCTTTGACCACTATGATCTGCTGGAGGTGATGGAAGGAACGGAGAAGCGCCCCGAGAACGACCCGGAGAAGAGCCCGTGGGTGCGGAAGAGCGCACAAGGCTATCTTCTACTTGGGCAAGCGTTGGGGAGCAGCCAAATCCGTCACATCAATCCTTTTCAGCGTGAACCAGCAAAGGGACCAAAGGCATGGGCTGCTCTCAAGGGTGTACACGCTCCTGCAACAGCGGCGGTGGCTGTGGTTTTGGAGCGGCAAATGGCGGCCCTTCGAATTGACGAAGGCGAACCGGTGGAGGACGGAGTGCAGAAATTTTTCGACTTGTTGAGACGGCTTGAAGGAGCTGACCTGAACTACAGTGACCTTCAAAAGAAGACCAAGCTGCTGGCCTTGCTTCCGGACTCATGGTCCTCGCTCATCATCAACCTAAATCGAGATCTGCCCCGTCTCTCACTCGAAGATGTGAAGCGGGAAATCTTACAAGAAGATTTCCGCGTCGTGAATTGACGGGTACCGATGGTGCCGGAGTTGCAAGCATGGGCCGTGGGCACGGCCGTGGAAGGGGCAGAGGGCGAGGAGGAAGATTTGGCAGCAGTAACTTCAATGGAGGCCGTGGTAATGGAGGATATGGCAGCAACAACAACAACAATGGCTACGGGCGTGGGCGCGGTCGATTTGATGGCGAATGCCACTTTTGCCACAAGACCGGCCACATGTGGAGAGATTGCTACAGATTGCCTGATGGATGGACCCCTTCTCAAGGCCAAGAGGGCAGAGGAGCAAGGGGAGGAAGAGGCAGAGGTCGTGGAGGCCGTGGTGGTCGTGGAAGCGAAGCGGCATGCATGAAAGGTGGAGACTACGAGACGGGCCCGAGTGAAGATCGATACCCGGGCCAATTCTTCTTTGTCTCCACGCAAGCGGCAGCTGCAGCAGGAGGTGTGGAAGGCTTTGAGGAGCCAGCTACTGTGGGAAAGGTCACCCTTCACTCTCTGGACTTTTGGGTGATCGATAGCGGCGCCACCTATAGCATGACACCTCGTGCGGACTTGCTCACCGAACTCGAACCGTCGCCGGTCAAGCATGTCACATCGGCTTTGGGGCAGCGAGCAGAGGTGAAAGGCATGGGCAAGGCCATGTTCAAGGGTGCTGATGGGAAGATGGTGGGCCTCAAGAACGTGCTTTGGGTGCCCAACCTTGCAGCCAACCTGATTTCTGTGCGGCGTTTGCAAAAGGCCGGCATGGACACATCTTCCAAGGGATCCAAAACTTATACCGCGCGGCTTGGTGAGCGGAAGCTTTGGGACCTTCATGAGGACAGGGACATCTAAATGAGATGTGGCAAATCCCAGTGGTCCCATGCCTAAGGAGAGGCAAGTGGCAGCAAGCATCAGCACCAAGAGTGAAGCGGTTGGTGGCGGTGATCACGGAAAGCAAAGTGACACCAAGAGTGACTCGAACGAGTGCAATCTTGGAGAGACCAGCAAGGCATGTGAATCCAAGGAGAGTGGTGCAGCAGCCAAAGGTGGTGGAAATGAGGAGGAGAATCCTAAGATCAGCAAAGCAGCAGCGGCGAAGGAGAAAGGAGAGAGCTTGTGGGGCACAATTGCGAGTGCCGCTTTCTCCAACCCGACCTCCGCTACGGGAGAGTGTGATTGGCTGACCTTGCATCGGCGAATGGGGCATGTGGCATTGCCCATTTTGCAGCAGATAGTCAAGCAAGACATGGTCAGTGGGATACGTGTCAAGGGGGAGCCCAATGAGGTGCTTGGCTGTCCAACATGCATGCAAGCCAAGTTCACCCGCTACCCGTTCCATAGCTCGGAGACAACGGCGAAGGCACCACTTGATGAGGTGGTGATGGATGTGGTGGGCCCCTTGAAGCTTGGAGCTGCTGGAGCTGAGTACTTCCTCACCATTGTGGACGTCTACACTCGCATGACTTGGGTATATGTGCTGCCCAAGAAGAGTGACGTGGCTGAAACGGTGAAGACCGATTGGTTGCCGATGGTGGAGCGGCAACAAGACCGGCTTGTGAAGGCGATTCGCACTGACCGTGGGGGAGAGTTCCTGAGCAAGGACTTCTCAACTTGGCTGAAGAAGCAGGGCATAAGGCACTCTCTTACCATGCCCTACTCTCCTGCAATGAACGGCATTGCCGAGCGTGCGAATCGGACACTCACGGAGACGGCTCGGGGACTTCTCATTGAAGCCGGTCTACCCAATTACTTTTGGCCGGATGCGGTGCGGCATGCTTGTGTGGCCAAGAACAGAGCCTTGACTCACGTGGGAGAAGACAAATGGGTGCCCTATGTGGAGTGGATTGGAAGGAAGCCGAAGGTGGATATGCTTCGGGTGTTCGGGTGCATGTGCATGGCACTTGTGCCTAAGAAACTTCGGCACAACAAGCTTGATGCCAAGGCAACATGGGCCGTGCACTTGGGCATGGCTCAAAACAGCAAGGGATGGCTTCTTTGGGACCCATTTACCAAGAAGTTCTGGTGAGCAGAGATTGCAAGTTCATGGAGAACTTACCGTACAAGGAGTGGAAGGCGGAGAACCAAGCGAAGATTGGTGTGCGGCTTGGAGAGGTGAAGAGTACCGGCTTGGAGCATGTGGAGCTGCCCTTGGAGCTGAGTAGCAGCAGCACTATCACAAGGCAATCTCCTCAAATGAATGGGGGAGAAGAGGAGGAGGAGGTGCAGCAAGGTGATGAGCGTACACCGTCACTTCCGCCTCGTGCTACAAGTGCTCGCGGGAACCGAGCAGATTTGCAGCAACGCCATGAGAGCATCCAAGTCCCTGCAGTAGAGGAGGAAGGAAGGGGGAGAAGGAAGACTCAGCCCCCCAATAGGTTGAGCTATGAACGGCTTGGAGGAGCAGCCAACTCAACCTTGACCGGTTCGGCTCTCATGCTAGGCGATGAAGCGGAAGATGAAAGCGAGGAGTGCGCTTTTGCCTTCTTCTCTCCGGTGGAGATCCTGGGGGAGCCTACAAATCCCAAGGAGGCTTGGGAGGGCCCCAATGGGAAGGAGTGGAAGAAGGCCTCAGATGAAGAGATGGGGAGCATCATCGAGAACGACACGTTTGACTTGGTGAACCTACCTCCGGGGCGTAAGGCGATCTCTTCCAAGTGGCTCTTCAAGCGCAAGACCGACGCCGACGGCAACATTGAGCGCTACAAGAGCAGACTTGTAGCCAAGGGGTACCAGCAGCAGGAGAAGAAGGACTACAATGAAGTATATGCTCCTGTGGTGAAGGGTACAACCCTTCGAACCCTCTTCGCCGCGGCGGCCATCAAAGGATGGGTGGTGAAGCAAATGGATATCGTAACGGCCTTCCTCAACGGCGTTTTGGAGGAAGAGACCTACATGGAGCAGCCAGAGGGGTACAATGATGGGAGTGGCAGAGTGTGGAAGCTGAAGAAAGCACTCTATGGCCTCAAGCAAGCCCCTAGGCAATGGTACATCAAGCTGCGGGAAGTCTTGGAGGCGATCGGTTTCACTCCCTCAACGGCCGATCAATCATTGTTCATGCTTGGCGAGGGGGAGCAGAGGAGCTTCATGGTGGTTTATGTGGATGACATCCTCATATTCTCACCCTCCTCTGACCTTGTGAAGGAGGTGATGCTGAAGCTTCAAGACAAGTTCAAGTGCAAGACCCTTGGTGACGTCAACTACTACCTTGGGCTTCACATTGAGCGAGATGTGGAGAAGCGGTGGATGCGAGTGCATCAAAAGAAGTACTTGGAGGCTTGGCTGCAAACTTTGGGAAGAGTGAAGGTCATGTGGCTACTCCTCTACCCTCAGGGTTCAAGTGTGTGAAAGGACCAGCGGAGGAAAGTGTTGGTGAAGAGGAGAGGCGCCGTTTTCATTCCTTGGTGGGCAGCCTCATGTATGCGGCCGTTCACACAAGGCCGGATGCAGCCTTTGCTACCGGCAGCTAGCTAGGGTTGTCCAATGCCCTAATGAGAGCAGGTAGCAGCTGGAGAGAGGGTGGCAAGTACCTTGGCAAACAGCAACTGTTGGACTGCAATACTCCGCGGCGGCACAAAGGCGTCAAAAGGGTGCGGATGGAGTCGAACCCGGGAGGCTCTTTCTCACCGCCTTCTCTGATGCATCTTGGGCATCAGAACTGTTGTGTGATGTCATCATATGCTATCACATTCTGTCTGCCTCCCATCCCATGTTTTCAACTTGCATGTGTGGTTTGAATGTGAAAGAATTTGTGTGTGGTGTGTTCTGGAGTTTGGGAATGTGTTCTGTGTTATTTTTGTTTGAGCAGGTATTTTGATGATAGATCTTGAGAAGATCTTTCCGACGCAACAAGAATCGCTTCAATCGGAGCAAGAACGCGAAAGCTATGAAGATTCAAAGTTCATGAGCTTGCGTTACAATTGCGGCGGTTACAAAGTGAAGTTGTGGGGTGACTCTATATGGAGTTGGGACCTTTGGGGTTGGGGAAATTTGTCACTCTACTGTAACAGCTGCAAATTGGTTGGGAACAACCAAGCTAGGTTGGCAAGGGTGGCCAACTTGGATGGATTGGTTGGGAAGGGACAAAGGTCAAAGTTGAGGTTCCTATAGGGAGGGAATCTTTGTGCTTATGGGGTTTCCTTGGTTGGGGACTCTCTTGGGACCTTCCCTCTCGTCCCTCTCTTTCTATCCCAACCTTTCTCTTGCTCCTCAAATTCCTTGTGAGATTCTTGAACTTTGATTGAACTCTTGAGATTGAGTTAAGTTCTCCTCCTACAGCTTACCCCCTAGTGCGTCGAAAGCCATAGCGTCGCGAATACTTCATCAATCAACGTGATTCAAATTGGGAACGGTAGCTGAGATCAAGAGCTACAACATATCCAAGTTTCGCGACATTCCAACGGCTAGTGTTTTGTCGACGTCGTTTCTTGTGAAGACGACTTTTCTGTCCAGAATTTCGGATTTATATTTTGAGTAATTCTAGCTCCTAAGTTCACCTAGACTCTGTCCTTAATCCTAACAAGTGGTATCAGAGCGATATTAAGGACATTGAGAGGAGTCTACAGAAGTGTGAAGACCCTTCTAGACCCACCATGGCCTGTGGGTGTGCCTAAGTGGTGTTCTAAAGGTTGGATGTGTCTTCCGCTAAGGGGAAACTCTGCCGAAATTTCGTGGACGCCGACACTTGTGAAAATATCGAGGGAGCTGAGTGTGGACAGCAAAGGGGAGCTGAAATTCGTCATTTCTCAAGGAGAAGATGAATGAGAGAGGAGGAGATGCTAATGGAAGAGGAGCTGTAGCTGAGAAGACAAGTGAGCCGCCGCCATCAAAAGTTGAAGCTTTGGATGGCTCCAACTATGAGGAATGGAGCGGACGGATGAGGAGTGCCTTCAAACGCTACAAGCTCCTGAAGATTGCTGTTGGGGAAGAGAAGATGCCGGAAGAAGGCGAAGCACGTGAACGGTGGATTGAGAAAAGCGCGGTGCTTTTCGACCTCATTCTTCAATCGGTCAACAAGGAGATGTTCGAGCACATCAAGGATCTTGTGGAAGCGGATGATTCGGGTCCAAGGGCGTGGAAACTACTACGTGATGTGGTTCAGCCCAACACTCTCCCGATGGTGATCGTGCTCGAGAAGGAACTTGCTGCCATCTCCATGCGACCAGGGGACGATGTGAAGCCGGTCCTTGACAAGATCAAGGACACCTATGCAAGGATGGCAGCAGCGGGCAGCAGTGTATCTCAGCTGCAGCAGTGCACCAAGATCATCTCGGTGTTGGACAACTCTTGGGACAACCTCATCCCCACCCTCAACTCTCAGCAAGATCAATGGACACCTGAGTGGCTAAGGCAGCAGATTCTGCAGGAGGACTTCCGCAGACGCCATGTGGGAGGCGGTGCTGCCACTAAGACTGCTGAGGGGTATGGAGCTGCAGGGCGCAGCAGAGGAAGAGGGGGTTGGAAAGGCCGAGGCCGTGGGAGGAGCTTTGGCAGAGGTAGAGGCCGAGGTGACTATAATGAGGGGCATGGGAGCTCTAGTGGCAGGGGGAGTACCAGAATGGAGGGCACGTGCTGGTACTGCAAGAAGGTTGGGCATCCTTGGTTCAAGTGCTTCAGCAGGCTGGAGGGATGGGCACCTCCAGGCATGAAGCCGCCCAGTGGTGAACGCGCACAAGGTGGCGCTGTGCAAGGCTCAGGTGCACAAGGTGAAGGTGCACAAGGTAATGCCTATCCTGGTTTGTTTGTTATGGTTGAGGATGTGCATGGGCATGAGGGTGATGTGGGATCTGTGGGAAAGGTTGTGATGCACCCTCTCACGCACTGGGTGATTGATTCGGGTTGCACCAGTCACATGACTCCACGGGCAGATTTGCTTGATGAGGTAAAACCCCCTGGGAAGATTAAGTATGTGGCAGCAGCGTCAGGTGCTTTGCTCCCCGTGATTGGTGTTGGGAATGCCAAGGTTAAGGGAGCTAATGGGGAGCTTGTGGGGCTTGGGAATGTTCTGCTGGTTAAAGGCTTGTCTGCTAACCTTCTCTCTGTGCGGCGACTGCAGAAGAGTAAGGCCGAAGTGACCTTTGGACCAACCAGCTGCCGTGCTAAGCTTGGGAAGAAGGTGCTGTGGAGTCTGGAAGAGGAGACCAGCTGCATCAAGGACCTGTGGCAGCTGCCCATCATCCCTTGGAATGGGAAGACTCCAACAGCAGCAACGGCAGCAGCGGCAAAGGCAACAGCAGGAGGAGATGCAACTGCACCAACTGATGGGGTCCTGGAAGCAGTCAAGAAAGTGCAGAAGCAGCAGACACATGGTGAGGTGCTTGCTGGTGTGGATGCGAGTGCGGCATGGGCTAAGGCTTCACCAAGGAGTGGAGAGGCCGATTGGGAGACATGGCATGAGAGGCTGTGTCATGTGAACTTCCCTATGCTGCAGAAGTTGGTGAAGGATGGGAGCCTGAAGGGCTTGGAGGTGAAAGGGGGAGTGAAGGAGATTGGGAGCTGCCCTACATGCTTGGAGACCAAGTTCTCCAAGTTCCCCTTCAACAGCACTACAGGACCAGCCAAGACCCCACTTGCACTTGTGCATATGGATGTGGTGGGGCCCACAAGAGCCCCTTCCCTCTCAGGCAGCCGCTATTTCTTGACAATTGTGGATGACCACACTCGGGCAGTGTGGGTTTACCCTTTGAAGAGCAAGGGGGAGGTGGCAGCGGCTGTCCTTAAGGAGTGGATGCCTAGAGCTCAGAGGGAATGCGGACACAAGGTGAAGGTGATCCGCAGTGACAATGGTGGGGAGTTCATTGGAGCTGATTTTGAGGGGGAGTTGAAGAGGAAGGGGATCCAGCATCAACTGACAGTGCCCTACAACCCGCAGCAGAATGGCGTGGCTGAGAGGTTCAACAGGACCCTGCAGGAGGGGGCACGCACTCTCCTTGGGCGTGCAGGGCTGCCTGATCCGTTTTGGGTGTCTGCACTGAGGCAGGTCGCCCTTGTGAAGAATAGGGTGCTGGCTACAGTTGGAGATAAGGAGTGGATCCCATATGCCAAGTGGTATGGGAGTGCTCCAGCGGTGAACATGCTGAGGGCATTTGGGTGCATGGTGGTGTTTCATGTGCCCAAGGAGAAAAGGGGGAAGTTGGAGGCTTCTGGAAGATGGGGTGTGCACTTGGGGATTGCAAAGGATCACAAGGGGTGGCTGCTATGGGACCTGACCACCCAGAAGCTGACAGTGTCAAGGGATGTGAAGTTTCTTGAGTCCCTGTACTATAAGGAATGGAAGCAGCAGCAACAGAAGCTTCCATCTACACCACTCATTGTGGAGGCAGATGAGTTGCAGCAGCCTTCAAGACAGGTGGAGGTTGCAGTGTCAGAGGAGGAGATGTCTGGGGTGACTGAGGAAGGGGGAGCAGCTGAGGTGGAGCAGCAGCAGCAGCAGCATGAATCTCCACCTCGAGTTCCACACCCGCCTGAGCGTCCTAGGAGGGATGTGCGCCCTCCTGTGAGGCTGACCTATGGGGGAAGAGGCAAGCCGAATGTGGTGCAGGCTGGGAGTGTGGTTGAGCAGATTGAGGAAGATGAGATCGCTCACTGCTACTGGGCACCAATCCCTGAGTACATGGCCTTACACCATGGGGCCAAGGAAGTAGTGTGGCTAAGGCGTTTGTTGGAGGAGTTGGGAGTTGGTCAGGAGAAGCCGACAGTTGTGTTTTGTGACAATGAGTCCGCTGTGAAGCTCGCCAAGAATGCTTGTCTGCATGGGCTGACAAAACACATAAGGCCTAAGTGGCATTGGGTGAGGAGAATCCTTGATAAGGAGGTGCGGCTGGAGATAGTGAAGACCCATCAGCAGGCAGCAGATATTTTCACTAAGCGTCTGGCGGAGGCGGATCATTGGAAGGGCATGAAGCTTGCTGGGATGAGTGTGCATTGAGTATGCATGCTTGAGATGTGGTATGGTCGATGATGGTTGGCAGCCAGAGGGGGAGATTGTTGTGTGATGTCATCATATGCTATCACATTCTGTCTGCCTCCCATCCCATGTTTTCAACTTGCATGTGTGGTTTGAATGTGAAAGAATTTGTGTGTGGTGTGTTCTGGAGTTTGGGAATGTGTTCTGTGTTATTTTTGTTTGAGCAGGTATTTTGATGATAGATCTTGAGAAGATCTTTCCGACGCAACAAGAATCGCTTCAATCGGAGCAAGAACGCGAAAGCTATGAAGATTCAAAGTTCATGAGCTTGCGTTACAATTGCGGCGGTTACAAAGTGAAGTTGTGGGGTGACTCTATATGGAGTTGGGACCTTTGGGGTTGGGGAAATTTGTCACTCTACTGTAACAGCTGCAAATTGGTTGGGAACAACCAAGCTAGGTTGGCAAGGGTGGCCAACTTGGATGGATTGGTTGGGAAGGGACAAAGGTCAAAGTTGAGGTTCCTATAGGGAGGGAATCTTTGTGCTTATGGGGTTTCCTTGGTTGGGGACTCTCTTGGGACCTTCCCTCTCGTCCCTCTCTTTCTATCCCAACCTTTCTCTTGCTCCTCAAATTCCTTGTGAGATTCTTGAACTTTGATTGAACTCTTGAGATTGAGTTAAGTTCTCCTCCTACAGCTTACCCCCTAGTGCGTCGAAAGCCATAGCGTCGCGAATACTTCATCAATCAACGTGATTCAAATTGGGAACGGTAGCTGAGATCAAGAGCTACAACATATCCAAGTTTCGCGACATTCCAACGGCTAGTGTTTTGTCGACGTCGTTTCTTGTGAAGACGACTTTTCTGTCCAGAATTTCGGATTTATATTTTGAGTAATTCTAGCTCCTAAGTTCACCTAGACTCTGTCCTTAATCCTAACAAGAACCAGAGGACATGACAAGTGTGGGAGGCTTCATCTGCTGTGTTGGTGGAGGACCAACAGCTTGGGAGAGCAAGAAACAAGTGGACCAAGCATTGAGCTCGGTGGAGTCCGAGTACATGGCACTCTTCCGTGCCATAAGAGAGGTTGTGTGGCAGCGGCGTTTGCTAGCTGAATTGGGGGAGGAGCAGCAAGGACCTACCCCCCTCTATTGTGATAGCCAGGGTGCTATTGCTTTGGCTAAGAACCCCGTTCTTCATGGCCTTACCAAGCACATGAAGGTGAAGTGGCATTGGGTGAGGAGCATGGCAACCGCGGGTGAAGTGGAGTTGCACTACGTGAAGACGACGGCGCAGCCTGCTGATATGATGACCAAGAGGCTGGTTGAGCAGCAGCATTGGAAGTGTTGCAAGCTTGCT